TAAATAATCTAAGAGGTAGTAATATTTGAATTTTCAAAAAAATGAGCATTTCAGCAGAAGTTGTAGGAAAAGTTGTTTACCGGAAAAACTTCAAGTTCCCGATTACAAGTCACTTGCTCTAGCAAGTGAAAATTGTCAATACGTTAACGATAACCGCAAAAACGCAAAACAGCTAAAACATTGGATCATCCCGAAATTTTGAAAAATAAAGCCAACATAAAGTATGAACATAGCGAGCAGACAGTAGGATAAAAGTCAAGGAACGCTAGAAAACATTACCAAATGGACTTGTTTTTTTTAAAGAAAAAACTTCAACTTTCAAAATTCAAAATTAATACATTCGTTAACAATTTATGATTGCCATTTTTTAAAATTAACTCAATCTGAGAAAATTGGATCAATTGGTGAAGTTTTTAGTCCGCTGGAAAATCTGAAAACAAAAAATCCACTTTCCGAAATTAGAGGTCGATCAAGTTTTTCGTGATCTGTACACTTGCTGTTCCATAGTGGAATTCATCAAAGGAAATGAACTGAACTTGAGAAGAAATCAAAAATCAAACTGCAAATATCAAATTTGAGCTTAAGGAATAATTTTGCATCAAATCTTAAGCTGGATTCATTTGTTTCAATATTTTATTCATTATTTGTATGACACGGACACGCGTAAAAAATACCTTCATTAGAAAAGGAAGCTATCAAATGATTCAACCAATTCTGTTAAAATAGTTGTTAACAAGAAAAAAGTCTATACTCCACTTTGATAACGCTTGCTTATCGCCTTAACACTAAAAAACGCCTTAAAATTCCACTCTCGTGAAATCAGAATACAGATTCAAATTGGCACAAAACTGATATGAATTATGAAACACTAGTCTCACTTAAAAATGTGTTCTTGTATGATCCCATAAGCATTTATTTAACGGAGAAAAGAGAGTCCAGTACGTGATTTCAATAAACTTGTTAATCGCAGTTAAACACCCAGTCGAACAGAGAATCAACCGAAACCCTTCGTCAAAAAAAAATTGAAATTAGTACCAAGCAGCTAGCAGCTTTTAAATTAGTTTTCAGGAAAAACTATGGTACACAAATTGAATTACATTTACTGTTCACTAGTGTCAAAGGAATAATTAAATCATAAAACTTTCTGAATTTAAGACGAACCTATTTGAAATAATTGGATTTTAACATCAGCTAGCAAATGAACTTGGAAAGAGAGCTTCAGCAAGGTATAAATTTTTTGGCATCGGATATTTTCAAGCAGTATCCAGATTTTTTTTCAACCACCAGCAAAAATGAATTCAAAAACTACATAACCAACAAAATCAGTCTGACTCTAACTGATGTTTCAAACTTCTACGCGCTGCATACAAATTCTCAAAAGACAACGATGAAACCATTTGTGAATCGCGGTTAATGATGTTAAACACTGTTTTCCTATTTTTTTATTTTAAAAATGAAACGATTTTAATTCATTTAACAAATGCTAAAATCAATACGCGCTGCAAACGACAATTTGACTGAAAAAAAAAATCCCCTCCGATTCTTGAAATGAATACACTCGATTTATGAATTGAATAAAAAGCGGAAAAAATAAATGAAATATATCAGAAACAGAACACCAAAAATTTTACGATTTTGTAAAGTTATCAAGCGGAAAACAAATCGGATTCTCTTTTTCAAAGGACAGAAATTCTGATCACAGAAAAATAAAATTTACAGAAAAATTCAGTTGAACAAAATTTTATATAGAACACGGCTTGTCAAAAGCTACTGAAATAAGCAAAAAATGCACACTTGAAATCGAAGCCAAAAAAGCAATCAAAATTAGCTGTGAGTGAAAAAGACAACCGAAACAAAAAATTTCCAAAAAATTCAACTTCAAAAGACATAAAATAATTTTGCTAGATTTCGTTCATGAATCTGAAGCATAAAAAATCAGAAGAACGTACAAAGTTTAGTAAAAAATTAGCGTAATCAACTCAAGTTGATAATTCAAAAGGATAACTTTCAAAAAAAAATAAGCTAGAAAGCAACGAAAACAAAATCAGTCGATTGAAAAATTATATTATGAAACATACAAAAAAACTCAAGATTTCAATTACCTGCGCAACAAAGAATATGATCCAGCGGGTCGCAAAAATAAAATATAGCTGATTGCACAACTTAAACTCAAAAAGTTTCGACGAAATTTGTTAGACTAATTTGTTAAAAACTTAATGTATATTTTTCAATTTTCGGCACCAGTAACAATTACTTTGCTAATCTCAACGTACACCCAAATCACATGCACCCAATACACTGGCCATGCTTTCATTTGAGCAGTTATGTGTAACACACTGCAAAAACTTTGGTAAATTCTGTGAAAAACTTCTTTGCGCAGATAAATCAGGTACCTGGTGGCAACAAACTTGCTTATCGCAAGGATTTAAAAAAGCGTAACAAACTCCAAGAAAAAAGTGAATGAAAAGGTTTCCAAATTTGCCAAAAGTGCATTTATCATCCCTAAAAATGTTGGTCCGAACTTTAAGTGATACGTAAATAGGAAAATCTTGCTTCAACACCACGCTACCGAGTGATTTTAAGAAATGTTGCAGTAAAAGGAGACAAGTTTGGAGGCAAAAAGATTTAATCTCAGATATCGCACACAAAACTCCGATAATTTCGTGCGAAAATTACCGAGAAGTTTTTTTTGTGCGTGACCTTTTAAGTCAATTAAAAACGGTCGAAGCTGAGCTTCACAGTAAATGCGATACAAAAATGAATAACTATAATTGAAATCATATGAAAAAGAAATTCGAAAACTGAAAAAAAATCACTAATTGCTAAAAAGCTCAAAATAACCGGAACAAAACTACCCTCACCATTACAAATTTTATACAGAGGCAAAGCTGATTTTCGCACCACTTGCAGATGAATCGGCACACGGAAAAATAATAAAAAAAACTTATTTCAAAAAATTTATAAGAACCTGATCAACTTTCGTTTGTCTGGACAGCAGTTCATTCTAGGCTAACGTGACAGAAATTTGGGTATTGAATCAGCAACGGAATAAAATTTACGAAGAGGAAACAAAACCGACAATCTTTAAGCAGACACAAGTTGAGCAAAAAAAATATGATAGTCCCACCTGAGTCTAGAATGAACAACACTTGAACTTTCAACTACCGCTGCCTACAGCACGGAAAAATCAGTGATGTGGCAACACAGCCGCCGATCTTTGAGCAGTCACTTGTTGCGCTGGAAAAAGTTTAAAGTCCACATCCCTGAACGTACAAAGAATGACACTTGTCTTTGCAAAAAAATGATTAAAGAACAAACAAGATGTGTGATGAGGCATCTAAGCTGACAAAACATAAGCACAATAACGGAAGTCCAACCATTCAATTTTTATCAATTTGTTTTTTCAATTGCATGCATACTGAAAATCCAAGGTCCGGCCGAGAGTCGAACCCCAGACGTAAGTGTACAAAAGCGACGGCGTTAACTCTAGGCCAAGCGAGAAGTAACCAGGAAGTTCTGAAGGTTTGTTACAAAACCAAGTTAAAGAAATTTTTAAACGTGTAAGAAAACTTAAAACGTGTAAGAAAAGTTGTTTACTGGGAAAAGTCTGGTTCCCGATTGTAGCAGAATTGCTCTCGCAAGTGTAATAAAACTTCATTTTGTCAAACAGGAATTTTCCCCCTTGAAACAACGCAACATAAGTTCTCTATGCCATAAACAAAACCAAAACCGTTTAATCGAAAAAAAATATATATAAAAATATTTTAAAAATTATTGAAAATCAGACTTGTTAAAATGATAAGTTACAACTTTCAACATCAATTTCAAAATCAAATTAAAATCTATGCTTGACCAAAAAGCCGAAAAAACGATACAAAAAAAATTTGAACCGACGGAAACTAGGCCGAAAAGCACAAATCCGAAATTTTAAAATTTAACACCGGAAACAGACTTAACCTACTTACTACCAAAACGATGTTAGTTATATTTCAATTTTCAAATAGCAAGGGTACACAACACATACATAACATGACAAACTTACCGACAGAAATAGAGATAAAGCCAAGGAAAATCCTTTTTTTTTTTAAAAGAGTATCGAGAAAAAATAATCTATCAAAATATTTTCCAACATTTGTCTTGATTTTATCTTGAAAAGAATTCAATTCAGGAAAAGATTCCAAGAAGTAATGCAATTAAAAGTCAATTAAGCTTCGAAACAAAGCTTACAAATAATTAACAAAGCCCACAATTCTTGAGCCGACATACGTTGCGCGGAAATATTTCTTTGAGTTATTAAAAAAACGTAAGTCAATAACAAGTAGTCCACCTTATTGCTCTCAAAGGACTCCACAAAAAGCCCTTTAACCGATATATAAAAAATCGGATTTTTTAAAAAAATTTCCGACCTATTCGAACTGTAACACATAGAAGCATGAAAAAAATTGCACTTAAAAATACACAAAATAGGTTGCCAAAATTGATTTCGTAAGCCAAAACCGTTTTGCCGAAAAAAAAACTAAAACTATTCAAAATCAGACTTGTTAATTTTATAAAATACAGAAATTTCAATTGTACTAAAATCTGTTTTTAATCCAAGTATAACCCATGTGTTAAAAGTTTAGCCGATAAAATCCGAACAGATAATAAAACAGATAATAAAAAATGGAAATTTTTCAAAACGAAAAATGAATTGACTAAAACTAGGACGAAAACCATGAATCCGCAGCAATGAGTTTATTTTTTTTTTAAATTTCATACAAAATTTATTGCCCGAAAAGGACTACACGTAATTACAAGTGATAGTAGTTTTATTTGAATTTCGAGAAATTGAACATGTCAACTATGCAGGTTGATTTATATCATTCCTAGTAAAGTTGACCGTTCTGTGAACAAAGTTATTTACGGGAAAAAAGTCTTGTAACCGATATTAATACCCTTGCTTATCGCAATGGTAAAAATACGACAGATGTAAAAAAAGCTTTATTTATAATTCTAAGATTCGAGAAGTAGTTGCCAAAAAATACGAAGCATCGGTAGAAGACAATTCTTTAAATACTTTAGTTAACAAGATTAAATTTTGAACATATTTACATGGTATATTGTTTGAAGCTAATTTGTTTGGAGTCTTGAATCTAATTCAATATAACATTTTGACAAAGCCAGGAAACATTTCGGCAAACCTTTCTAGCTGTTTTCACTGGGCGTAGGTGACGGCTAGAGCAATAGCTGTTGATATTGCACAAATAACGAAGAAGGGTAGCCACGTGATAACGAAGCCTTTGAAAGAAGTATACTTACCGAAAATAAGCATCAAGAAACAAAGGGAAACCATGTTGTAGCTAAAACAAAACCAATATTAGTTTGCTTAATAAAAGTTAGAGAAAAAATTCAGAACACGGAAAACTTCAAACGAAGGGGTAAAACCTCGAAATTTGGTGTATAAAGTGATGCAAAAAAAAACAATTTTAGGAACAAAATTCACTTGATTGAAAAATTGAACCTTTTACACCCGTTGTATTGCATGCAGTTTAGAGCATAGGCGACATGATTATGACAATTATCCCAGCATAGAATATGCATTCGTCCTTTATACACTTCGCATGACTCCAACACCGCTCCATCCCATGTTTGCCCAGGCCGACGAATTTTAGCGGGGTCCATCTTCCAGTACTTAGTGGGGCTTCCAAATGCCATTCTTCCTTCGCCAATTGAGTATGGTCCCTAAGGCGAACAAAAATCATGCCGCAGAAGTAGGACTAGTGACGTTTTCTACGTGCGATTTCTACGTTAGTGTGATTATTAAGAAGCAGAAAAATTGGAGAGAAATTGACTTTTTTCAAACATCTGAAGTGCAATTAATTTGAATGAGGATTAAGACGATGTAAACAACGACAAAAAACAACCAGAAGAAAAATGCTGCCGAAAAATAAGTTGTACATTCCAATTTATTCTTTCCCCTGCAGAAAATTTAGTGGGCATAAAGACCAAAATCATCAAATTAAGCTGCTTAAACTTGAATTCAAATAAAAAAAAAACATTTTATACATAATGCGACGAAACTAATCAGTGTACTAAACAAGGCACAAAAAACTATATTTAACAATTACAAATAACAAATTCTGAAAACTACGAGCAACATTTGTAAAAAAAACTTTAGACGGTTTCCAAACCACAAAGAAATCCACTGTTGCCACCAAGCTAAACGCATATACTGGGTACATAGTACCCACTGTAACCTAGGAATCCCAGGCATTGGCCACTAGCAGATCAAATATGGAACAACTCGAAAAAGTCTTGCAACCTGATGCTACACTCGTGCATATCGCAAGAGTAGAAAAAATTTGAGTATGGGGTCCATAGTGGCATTCTAGTTAATTGTTGATCAACTTTAAATCATAGGCTATTATAAACAATGTGCGTGCAAAAAGCCTTTTGGTTTTCGTTTACTGCTACACCGGCCTATTGCACATGCATCATTATTAACGCCCTCTTTGCTATTGAAAAGAAAAAGTCACAATCTAAGCCGTTTACATTCAATTTTCTAGGCATCAAAATATGTGTCAGTAATAACCGCAAGCTAATTTTGTATATTAAATAATAGACACCAAAAATAAACAGAGACAAAGCTGCGCTTCGAACCAATTGCAATACAAAAAAAAGCCGAACAGAAAAAGATAATGTGTCTCAAACAAAGTACAATTTTAAATTCGAAGGATTTGCAGTGCAAGATTCTGGGCAGGATCAATGACACCCAGAAATTGCTAACTCTCGAAACCCTTTACATCTCGAGGAAAGCTCTCTCGAAGCCCTCACCGGATTTGCAGTGCAAGATTCTGGACAGGAGCATTGACACCCAGAAATTGATAACTCTCGAAGCTCTCTGCATCCCGAGGAAAGCTCCAGCCCTGAATCTCCGTGAGGAGTACCGGCAACGTCAGCTAACGCTGCGCTCCTAATCTATTTTTTGTTTTAACGTTTTATGTTAACTCAAATTGTGCTTTTTTTTCTCTGATTTCATGAGGTTTTTTATTGTTTTTTACCATGTTTGTTGTTTTTTCTTTCAGTGTTCTGATGACGTCTTAATTGACGAAAGCGTTCAAGCATTGATACTTGTTTTGTCCGTTAAATTCGAAGGCTTAACATGAAGAATTTTCTTGCAATTCTTATGAAAATAACTACCTGCATTATCAGGAGGAATCGGGCTACCTTAATTTCATTCATTTCTTTCCCATAAGCAATAGATTAAACCGATTAAAAAACATGCTGGCCAATACACCGAGTTTGTGCATAAGACAAATCCCTCCATTATTTGCTATAAATTAAAAAAAATTAAATTGAAAAAAAGAATGCTGAAGTTTCAATCAATTCCCACAAAAGAACATGCAGAAAATCCGAAACACACAATCAAAGCTTACGAAAAAACCAAATACAACAAACTTATCGAATGTGAAATTGATACGCAATGTTATGAGAGCTGGAGCACAACAAGAAAAGACGGAGGCGAAGCTGAGCTGCGCACCACTTGCGATACAACACACACATAAAAAAAACATATGAAGTCGAAAACAAAATGAATTGTTAAAAAAAACAAGATGAACCAAAATGTTCGTATGTCTCGATATAAAAGATAACTATGCGCCCAGCTAAAGCTGGAGTTAGCTGTTTGATGTTTTTGGAATTTGTTATACTGATGCGGCATGTATCAGGTAATTTCGAAAATTGGACTTTGCCCAAAACCATAATTGTTTCTCTACTGAAATCTTCAAAGACAAAAAAATTTTTTTTGCAAAAATTCAAGAAGTCGCCACTTCTGTAGGAAATAATCTTCCGGCCGGATCTTTCGATTGAATCCTGCATTTCAGATTTCAGGGTAGTTTCTTAGAAAAGTCAAAAGTTTCTAAAAAACTGTCTAAATTTGAAAAAACTGTTTTTTTTTTCCGGGAATCAAACCTTGTTGTTAAAAAAAAAAACTTTGGCGTAGCATTTTATGCGAGAAACATTTCATAAAATCTGCATTTTCGATTGAATGCAAAATTTCAAGATTTGAGAGGATAGTTTTCGAGAAAAGTCAATGATTTTCGAAAAACCGTCAAAAAATCAAAACTGACTTTTCCGAGGGTCATATATTTTGGTGTTTAAAAAATTGGGCTCAGCTGCACATGCAGAAGAGCTTCCCACAAACCTTTCTTCTAACTGATTCCAAAAACTAGATTTGAGCGGGTAGTTTTCGAGAAACAAAAATATTCAAAAAGCAGTCAAACACTCAAAAATTTGACTATTCAGAAGGCCATAATTTAAAAAAAGAAGAGCTTAGCCGCCTGTGCAATAGCTTCTTAAAACCTTTTTCATCCATTGAACCCAAACAACTCAAATTAAGGGAGTAGTTTTTGAGAAAACGAAAAAAAAAATCCAAAAACATGGGGTGTCAAAAATTCACCACACAGATTTTTTTAGAAAGGCTGCAGACAGAAGGGTTAAGCAAAACGCGACTAAGGGAGTTCGCAGGCACATTGTGGAGTATGCAGTCTAATGATACGCCTTTTTTGAAAATCGGTAGAGTTGTTTTCTATTGAAAAAAAAAATTTAAAAAAATTGAAAAAAAAAATTCGAAAGCATCTCAAAAAATTTAAAACAACACCCAACCCAATACTTTTTAATAACATCTAATTTTATGGAATAGGAAAATTTGGCCGTCGAACAGACAAAAAATGACTTGGAAAAATGACAAATTAAAGAAATTTTAGAAAAAAGAAAAAAAAAATAGAATCAAATGAAAACACTTCATCAAGAAATTTATTTGAAAAAATAATTATCTCACGGAAGGTACTCCACCTATATACTACCTAGATGCGGTAATTTTATTTAATCTGCAAGACATTGAGCATCTCTTGAAGTTTACCTTCCTACAAAATTGACCATTCAGTGAACAAAGCTATTTACGGGGGAAAAAAGTATAGTACCCGATTGCAATTCCCTAGCTTATCGAAATAAAAATAACACGAAAAGTCCTTTATTTTCAAAAACTTCTAGCCAGCAAAAAAAGCACACACCTTGCAACACTTGCTATACATATATTCTTATAAAAAGTCAAGTCAAAATTGCAAAAAAAAAATCTGAAAAACTATGCTTTTTCAAAAAATTTTGACATATTAAAGCAATACGTTATGCCGTCAACTTGAATCGATTAAAGTGAAATTGCGCGAAGTTGAAACACAGCAAAAAATTTAGAAGTAAATCCACGCGTTTGTAGATCTAAACGTAAATCTGACACCAAGCATCCGAAAAAGAAAACTGAGTAATTAAGAAAGTTTTTTTTTTATTTTCAGTAAAAATTCAAAAACCAGGAAACAAAAGTTTAACACAGAGGCGATGTTGCACTTCGCATACACCAGCAAAAATATGAACGATAACGTTACTTTTTTGGATTGATGCGGATGGACAATGGTAATTTCAAAAACAGACCTATAGAAAAGAAAATTCAATCCCAATTTTTTGATTGCAAAATCTTTTATTTCATCAATTACTTCAGTTTTCTTAAAAATGAAGTGATAACAAGAGCTTGTTGGGTTGAAATATGCTTAAAACGTTGCTCATTAGTATCGGGTGGGTAGTTTTCGAGAGAAGTCAAAAATTTTCAAAAAACGGTGAAAAAAAAAACGAAAACTTGACTTTTCCGAGCTTCATAACTTTTGGTGTAGAAAAAACTTTGGCGAAATCGTTTATGCAGCAGAGCTTCCCAGAACCCATTTTTTCCATTGCAACCAAAATCTGAGGTTTGAGAGGGTAGTTTTTGTGAAAAGTCAAAAAGTTTGAAAAAACGGTCACAAAATCGAAAAATTGACTTTTCCGAGGGTCATAACTTTTTCCGTAAAAAAATTGGGCGTTATCATTTAGGCAGCGGAGCTTCCCACAACCCATTCTACTCATTAAAACTAAAACCTCAGATTTTGGGAGAGTATTTTCGAGAAAAATTGAAAAGTTTCAAAAAACTGTCAAAAAATCGTGAATTTGATTTTTTTGAGGGTCATAGCTTTTTGTCTGAAAAAATTTGAGCGTAACCGCTAAAGCAGGGGAGCTCTCTACAACCCGTACGTTCGATTGAAACTAAAATATCGGATTTGGGACGGTAGTTCTCCAGAAAAGCCATAAGTTTCAGAAAGTGGTCAAAAAATCGAAAAGTTGACTATTTTGAAAGCCGTAACTTTTTGTGTAAAAAAGATTTGGGCCTAGCCGCTTAGGCAGGGGAGCTTTCCACAGCCTGTTCTAACCATTGAACCCAAAATTGCAGATTTGCGTGGTTAATTTTTGAGAAAATGTATAAAATCCAAAAATGTAGGTAAAAAATTCACCCCACACACTTTTTCGCAAGTTTGTAGAAAAGTGGGTTAAGGTAAAAAAAAGAGGATAGGGAAGTATTCAGGCTCACAGGAGAGTGGCCAGACTTCCCATTCGTACCAGTAGTTTTTGAGAAAAAAAAACGAAAATTTTCCAAAGCGTCTCAAAAAATTTTAAAAAAACTAGATCCCATACATTTTCATAATACCTGTTTTTATCAAACAGGAATTTGCAATATAATAGTATGTAGTAGAATTCTTAGCATTGGCTGTATTTAACAGCTGGTTATTGATCAAATGAACACTTTCAAAATGATCGCAACTGTCCCAATGCTTTTGTAATCATGTACCGAAAATTAGAAAAAAACGCCCAGGTAAGTAGAAATT